TAGAAAGAAGATTGCGCAAGACAGGAAAGATAGTGCAACCAATCATGATCTACAACTTGATCGGGTTAAAGAATCAATCCGCAAAGCAATTTGTGCTCGCAAGCGTTTGTGGTGGCGGAAAAATATATTACCAGGGCTTGTAGAGAAATACGGCTACAGTAAATGAAATGCTTCGTGTATTGTCGATTTACTTATTAGTAGTGGTCTTACCCCTCTGATCCTCGAGATTCTCCTCTTTGTATATTGCAGCAATCTCAAATGTATTCCTTCTTCTGTCTATCCTTCTGCCGAGGTATCGCAGCTCCCGCTGACTTATTAAAAGGGTTCTGTTTCGTCTCGAGTCGTGAATTGGTTTTCCTTCGGATGAAGGGAGGTCGCGGAAAGATGGTACGGGTACCTATGCATACGTTCCGGTACATGGTACACGTGTACCTCCCTTGGATATAAGAACTTGAAAATCCAGTTTTGGAAGCTTTTGGATGATGCGCATGGGCTCCCAATAATGTCTTGACGAGTAGGGGATTTTATGAGCTTTGTGTTTTATGTTTTCACACAAAGTTTGTGGTTTGACTTTCCGTTTTATTAAATGTGTACAAAACGGGACGAAACCTATTTCCTATCTATGGGGGACACTGGATTGTACGGTACGGAACGTATGCAACAATGAGATCGCCAGAGGCCGCTCAATAACTTGTCAGCTACCCGCGTCACGGGCACGAGACAATCGTCGATGAATACGAGTATCCGGTGCTTGGCGATGCGTCTCTTTCGCAAGTCGCGTTGATACGATGGGGAGCAAGCTAGAGCCGGGAGATGATTAGTCTGGCTAGAAAACTCAATGAAAGCTTGCGTTGGCACAACTTGCAAGGCATCCCATGCAGCGGCCACTGCCTCCATTACTAGTAGAAGATTACAAGATGGAGTGAATGCAGCCATGCCGATCAGGTGACACGACGGCAGCAAGAAAAGTGCACTCATTTTGGAATCGTCCGCAGGGAGGCATTGGATTGACAGGCCGAGTGCAATGGCAATTTCCGTGTAATTGCTTACATGCAAGGGATCCCCTTGTCCTCGATCCAAGGACTTGCAGGAACGCTCTGCCTCACTCGACTACTAGCTAGTATCTTGTACCAACACCGTACGCGCCAATGACAACACATCTGGCACAACGTATCTTAAAGCCAAGGCGTTTAGGAGGGGTTTGCTGCGCTCGTGAATCAACAAAATCATCAGATTTCTGTCTCCGGACCACTGTTTTCGAAGCTCAAAAGATTTCTTTTGTTGCAGAGTTGCATGCCCATGAAGTAAAAGTGCTGCTCTTCATGATAGTCTTGATGATCCGACAGGATGGACACATTACTGACTCTGAACAATGATGCCAGCACACCTAGTGACACCCGTGCATCAGCAGTAGCAGCAGAAGAAGAGTTGTTTGTGCAATTTGGTCACAAGTCTCTGTCGACCCAATTGGTAGCGGCGGTGGTTTCGATCGTCTACGCATTGGTCCTTCGCAATGGACGCTTCTGGGCGTACATTTTTGCTGTGAACCAAAGTTGGTTTTTCATTCTCGTGTGGTGTACCACACTGGCACAACACGGAAATTGTCGACCATGGATCTTGTGTGGTGTTTCCTTGGCGTTGCTCTTGACGGTGTTGATTTGGTTCCGATTGCAATTGCAGGAAAAGTTGCCCCTGTATTCCGGACTGGTATTTCTGGCCTGTATTCCAGTCTTTGTGACGGGCATGGTCTGCATACGATCCAGTCTGCAAACAGCTCATTCCCATCACTGCGGTGCCATGGCACTCAATTGCCTGGATGCGACACTGCGAGCGGGTGTCTTGCAATTGGCATTGCTCACAGCGGCACTGGTGGGATTTGGAACACGTTCAGGAGCTGACTTGGAACAAATCATATGGCTCGAGGGTAGTCATGCTAATGAAGACGACAGTAGTACCACCACCACGATGATGTCAGTGCTGCAACAGAAGGATCACGACGAAGCCATTCAAGGCGCCATTACCGGAACACAGGCTGGCATGGCCAGTGGCGCCGTCAACTTTTTCCTCCTGCAATCCATCGTCACACGACACGTGACTAAATTGCAATTGAACGACATTGTGGCGGGTCGCGTCTTGTGGCTGGAATATGCCTCCATGGGATTGCAATTGCTCGTCGTCGTCGCCGTGGCCGCCACCTTGGCATTGACGCCCTCCGCCATGTACAAGGCATTTTTCACCCAACTCAATTGGAAGGATTGGGGAACCTTTCGACTCCTCTTTCTTGTGGGGTATTTGCCTCCCGGAATTCTACTCTTTCTCCTCAATGTCTACTTTTCCACTGTCTTTGGACAACCGGGGCCGACACGAGATTTCTTCCTGCAACGACATGACGTAACAACCAATCCGAGTATCGAGGAGAGGATGGACCATGAGAAGGAAGAACAACGAAAATTACAATTATCGGTGGATGATTTATACGATAAGGTTGATCGAGGCGACACGGAGCGACAGTCCCTGCAGGATTCCATCACGGATCTACAGGGGTTCTGTCAAACCGAACTCGCACCACGAACGTCCCGACTGGAGGAGTTGCTGGGTCGGATCGATCAACAGCATGGGAATACAGCAACAACCACAACCATGGCCACAATAAGGACAACCACAGCAGCACCAGCACTCACGAGGATGCACAGGGCCCAGGTCATTGTCTCCTAACTCACTAGATTAGCTACCGATACCAGTACCAGTGCATTTGGGTACAGTTATGCATGAAACCAGAGCCATCCCTTTTTAGTCTTACACTTTGCGTGTACGCTGAGCGTTCCTCAATCGTGCATTCTTAACGAAAACCGACCCTATTATTTGGGACGGATTTAGGGACGGGTTCCCTTTAGGGTCGGGTTTGAAAACCGACCCTAAAAATAGGGACGGTTTCTGAAAAATAGGGACGGTTTCTGAAAACGTCCCTAATTTTAGGGACGGGTTTCGATTTAGGGTCGGGTTTGAAAAACGTCCCTAAATGGAAGCGGGACTGAGTGGTAAATACATTGAAAACGCACCAATATTAGGGTCGGGTTTGAAAACCGACCCTAAAAATAGGGACGGTTTCTGGAAAATAGGGACGGTTTCTGAAAAAACGTCCCTAATTTAGGGACGGGTTTCGATTTAGGGTCGGGTTTCGAAACCGACCCTAAATCAGTCGGATTTAAGGTCGAGTTTCCCCAAACCGACCCTAAAATTAGGGTCGGATTTAAAGGACATGCACGATTGAGGAACGCTCCTGTATAGCACGTAGTGCGGCATAACGAAATGTGGCGTAAAGAAAGATAGCTACGACGTGTTTGCAGTTGACAGGTTCTTCCCTCTGTTACCGGTAGGGAGCGAGTCCTCGTTTGACATGGTGATCCCAACCAATCAGGGTCTGGGCTCAATGATATTGATTGGAACATCTGAACTGTCTTGTCTTTCTTGTCACCTGCGACCGACGTGCAAATCGGTTGACAGCATGGGTGTTGCTGCATTGCCCCGCAGGATACAGCCTCCAACGAGCAGTACGTCATCATACTACGGTACTCTGAAGCCGGATGTTGTCATCCTTCTCAGGAGCACTAGCTAGCCCAGGTCTTCATCCGGCCTTGGGTTTGATGGGTTTGGTGCCGTGCTGTCAGAATTCGTGGGGCCAACCCTGTATACTACGACTCAATGCCGCATAAAATAACCTGCACCCCGAGGCGCGATTCGAATGCACGATGACCGAGTTCAGTACACGATAGACGCTTTGCTCCACTCCCGTGTGGGGCAATGTATGAGAGACTATGCTATTGGTTCAGGTTGTTATGTTCGGCTGTCAAGTCGACGCTTGGACCGTTTTCCCTGTTGTCACCCCCCTGTCACGGCATACATGACAACAAGCCCTTCACATCAAGACTCGTCGAATGAATATGGCCCAGCCACAGCGGGACCACTCTGGCAATGACAATGCCGACGCACGAAACGAAGAGAGAGAGAGAGAGAGAGAGAGAGAGAGAGAGAGAGAGCTATGAGCACACAAAATCAAAGCTTCAGAGAAACCAAAAGCATATACAAGCAAGCAACAAGTTTTCCGCATTATCAAACGCTCATTAAGCTCAAAAGCAGAACAATGACAACATCAAACATCCTTCCCCTCAAGATAGCACTCCTCGTCGTCATGTTGGGTTGCAGCACCACCCACGCCTGGGCACCCGCGGCCACCACCAGAAGAACTGCCGCAACAAGGACTCAACTTGCCATGGCTTGGTCTCTCCCAGCACCTATGCAACGAACCTTGGGATCTGGTACTAGCTACTGGTACCAGGACTGCGGCACTGCGGTTGGGCGTCGCGTTGTCTACGACGATAGCGATGAAGACAACCTGCTCCAACAATTCTGGTGGGACGAGCAGGAACAAGAAAGTCGGGGACTGGCATTTGCTCGTCTCAACTTTTTGAAAGACGCAGAAAGCCATGTAAGTAGCGGGTACTATGACCAGAAGAGCCATCAAGACGAGAACGCGGCTACTGACGGTAGAGGATTTTTTCCTATTCGAATGGCACGAGGCATTTGGAAGCGGATCCGTGGCTCTACTGAAAACCATTAGGTTTAGTGGCGGTAGGTAGCTATGTTGTATACTCAGAGAGAGCATACTGCCCAAAGAACCAAAGGAGAACCGCAAAAGGAGAACCACAATGACGAACCCACACGCTAGGCCGCAGCCACTCACAGATAGATAGAGCAAGAAAACCATAAAGTTAGACCATGAAGAATTGAAAACTTGCTGATATTGTTATGCTCAGGGCGGGATTGGAACATGTCGCGGGTTGTTCGCGTTGTGAGGGGGGGTCTCGCGCTCACTGATGAGTTTTGCGACGCAACCACGATAGCACGATACGGTACGGTACTGGTATCATTGGTCCGTACCACCTTCACGCAACCAATAAGTTGATGCCATCTTCAACTCTACAAAGAGCTCGCGCCTCGACGGTTATCACCCCCTCTGTTCTATTGCTCGTTTGCCGCCTTGTGCTCTCTGCGCTTACATATATTTTACTAATAGGCTAATCCTCTTATTCTTCTGCTTCATTCGAAAGCCACTTTCGACACTTTCGGTACTGGTACTACTGAATCTTGATTTGGTTGACGGGCTTCATTTCCGCAACCAATGAAGCAACCACTGCTGTTGAGTGAGGAATCCCAACAAACAATCTCCGTCGCCGCAGCAGGTTACCCGTGCTTCTTGCTTATCTGGCAGAATGTGTTCATACACGCCGCAACCCTTCTCGATCCGTATAGTTGGCTGACCTCCATTATTTCCCCCCTTGTATGTGATGCCGTCAACCGTGACCGTCACCTGTGCGGGTTCAATACCACTATCCATCGTGCCTTGTTGCAGCTGTCTTGCTGAATGGGCTCCTGTTGTTTGAGAGGGTACCGGAGTAGAGCTTGCGGGAGCATTGGCCTCAAAAAGACTGATTCGTAGAAAAGAGGGTGAGTTCCGGATCTTGCTTCCCATCACAATGGGATAGAGTCGTCGATTACCCTTGGCACTTACAGGAAGCCCACCAGTACAAGATTGCATAAAAGAGACACTACCAAAGCGATCTTGACAAACGAAAGTCGTGAACGAAACTCCTTCACACTTTGGATGTCCTTTCCAAGACCATAGAGGTCCTTCTTCTCGAGCTTCTCGTGTGCTTCTTCATCGTCGTTAGTGTTGTTTCTACCGGTAGTCATCGTGGGGTGTGGTAGCTTTGGTGTAACCATTGAATTTATGCCTTTGGAAGATACTAGCTAGTACTCCAGGAGCTCTCTGTTTATCTGGACCATCGTCAGATGTCGGTTCAGCAAAATTCGCTTCCACCAGGGACCCAATGTCAGTCCCTTGCAAATTGGTTCTCGACTCGAGTCCCCCCACAGCGCTTCAAATTTCGCGGTTGGATTTTTAGCAGCGTTTAGGGTCGGACAGGAGCCTTCTATGCACTATTGGATTGTTTGATGCATGTGCATCGATGATGCCAAGATGTAGTCTAACCCTCTCTCGCCATTGTCTTTCTCCATCTCTGTTGCCGTTCGGGACTTGATTCTCGCTGTTGCTACGTAACGGAATGAGCCCCTCACGGCACCTCCGTCATTGCTAATCTCATGGACTTCAAGAGAAAGCGAAAGATATGAATGAAAATGGAAGTTACGCAGGGAGGTGTAAAAGAACCCGAACTACAGTCGCACTTCATCATGCCTTCCACAGTCGGGCTTGAACCTACTTGCTATTTTGCCTTCAAACCGTATTGACTTCACATTGGCTTCAGCTGCCCAAAATAGAATGCACCTACAAGTACTCCCAACCAGGCAAAATAACTTGCGGTTTATCACTTTTATCAGGTCTATGGCAAACATACAGATAGTTTTTGTGTGTTTTTATGGCAAACAGACAGAATCAATCAAGAAGATTGGTACCCTGGCCAACCAACTGGCCAAGACAATTCCGCCAATCAAGAGTCCAAGCGTTGCAGCCCCAATCCCTATCAAGGCAACATCGATGGCTAGCCTGTAAGACCCTGTTTGATCTTGAATCCATTTCATTGCCTTATCTGCTCGAGGAGCAAACAACACCGCCAGGGCCAGCCTGATGGGCTGGAGAGCTTTATCAGCCTTTGCCATGTCGGAACAGAGGACAACAAAAGCACTCCATTGACCAGGATACAAAGGCGATGATCCATGTTGCACCGAAAAACGATACCACGAAAATGTCACTAGCAAGATGGCACATGCATTGCTCATTGAGAAATATGCCAGCATTGTATTGAACCCTTTCCAGGTCATCCTCCCACAATAGCTTGAATTCACCATTCCGTTTTTCCGGGCAGTTCCTGTGTTCGTAGGACCCCAAAGCAATGATGAAAAAGTGCGGCGATACTTCATTGACACAGCAGCTAGATACAGCACAGCCAATATGATCACAGCGATGGAGAGGCGAGACTCTGATGACACTTGTGGGTCAATTGCATGGTAGTCAGAGCTGTTGCAAATGGACATTCAAGAAGATACCAACGACCAAGGTCAAAGAGTTAGAAGATTGCGACTCCATGTTTTCTTGCTCTAGAGTTTCGGAAACTTGCTTACCCTCCGGCATCGTGATATCTCATCATCTTCTCACCTCCGTCAGAGACTTTTTGGATGAATCGATCATAGTAGAAACCAGGAAGCACCATCAGCAATGTTGATTTTGTTGAATTCAATCACTAATTTCAAATTGTGAGTGGAGCGGAAGTGCGAGTGTAATTAGGTCATCACAATTGAGAAACTGGCAGACAGTGGTACGAGAAGAAGGGTCATTTTACTCGCGGCAGTCATTTTTACTCGCGGCAGTCAAATGTTGTGCGTCTCAGTCGATACTCCAGCTTTCAACTTACTCCACTACTGAATACCAGTTGGAATCTTCTAATCTTCTTGTAGTTGTGGTAAGTAAATCAACGTACATTTGTTTATCAAAAGTTGGTTTTACAGCATCTTCTGATAACCTAAACGTGTCTTACAGGAAAATGCAGATGAGAACGAACAGTCATTTTGAAATCGGCTAAAATCAGCTCTTAATTGTGGAATCAGCATCATCTTTGATCGCTTCAACCAGCAACTTTGGAGTAATTAACCAAAAGTCATTCTTCTTGAGCTGGCACGAGCAGTTTGATGTTAAGGATTTAAATGGCAGACTTCCATGTTTAAGTCACAAAAAGCGTGCACAGTCATTGTCATAAGACAACAAATTAGTATGCCAACATAAATAACATAAACCTCGATTTCAAAAGTACATGTACCACAGTAGCCCAAGCACCCAAGCACTGATGATTCCCAAGGGGATGAAAAGTCAGGTAAGCCCCCCCTGACGCCATCAAAGAGCACGTCCCTCCTCGATGTACTAGTACTGGCTAGCTAAGCTAGCTTACCATGAAAATTTTTTTAGCTAGTACTATAAAGGTTGAGCCCCGCAGGGGCTCTGAACCATAAAGATTGGGCCCCTTGGGGCCCAACCACCAAGCTAGCTAGCTAGTGGGAGTGGAATATCTGGCTTGCCCTCAAAGCACTGCAGCAGAGCCTCCTGCATCTTCGACTTGTCTTTGGATGGACTTTCCCAGGACCCTGCCCAACCCTTCATGTCTGCGAAGCTTGTGGTGGGTCCAACAGCTTGGCTTTGGTCAGACCACTTGCTTTGGAGCAGCCTTTCTCTTGCCAGCAGCATGTTCATTGATCCTGGCCATCTGAACAAGCTGACCCTTGTCTCTGAGCAAAGCTTGGCATGCTGGGGCCTCAGCCTACCTGAGACCAGCGTTGCCCTGCCGCATCATGTTGAAGTGCATTCAATCGAATGATTCAGCAGCCTTGCAAGGGCTCTCATAACAGGGGATGTGACTCCGTGGACTGCTCCCTGTGGGAAATGGTTTGCAGATGCCGATCCAATTTCCCGCCACTAGAGAGTCCTAGCTTTCACAGAGCACGTCCTGTCTTGCCAACAGCCGCCAAGAAAACCATGCCGTTGTCGTCCCACCTTGGGAACCGTCCACTGGAGTACAGGTCCCGTGTCGATACCAGCCGGCGCCTCTTTCGTACTCGCCCTCATCGTCTTCGGAGGATTGCGTGAAAGAGGCTATTCCTCGGTGCGTAGTACCTGCGAAGTACCTCTGCACTGCGGCTATGAATGCGGTAGTACACCTCTGCGAAGTAACTCTGCGGCTACTGATACGAACGGGATGACCTCGGTTTTATTGTCTTGTTCACTATCTCGTCAAATCCTCTGGATGCATGCTCCGTCGGTCTTTCGAAAACACATGCTAATAAAACACGACGAGAGACTGATCGAGCTGACACTGAGAATATTGAATCGAATCGTGTGCATGACTGACTCACCTTAGCACGACTGACGTCATCGAACTAAAGATCGAACTTTCTGATTGCTTCCTCTACAGAGTAAGGGCTCTACAGCGGTGGTGTACGGTTGGGCGGATGGCGGTACAGCGGTCCGCTGTACTTTCTGTACCAATCCTTTTATGTTCTGATATGCGAACTACCGTAGCTAGTATACGGAACCCACCACGAGGATTGAAGAATTGGGGAACATGCAGAGCTGACAGTTTGCACCATGACATTGTCAAGTATTCAGAGAAACGAAGATGTTACTGGTTCAAGCAGCTCTGCGGCTTTGAATAACCATTATTTACTCACGGTAAGAGACCGCGTTCTCATTGAACTCCCCTACTGTTCGTTGCGAAGAACACTCGTTCTTAATTCTTCCATCTCCACAAGACAGATCAAGGAGAGTCTGCAGCCCTTTCAAAAAGCTCCGAATAATATATATAATGTGTTCGGCCTTCGCTCTCTCACCCGTGCCAATCCTGTCTGCCAATGGAGTTGCTCCCATCGAGCCAGTCGGTAACTCAAGTAATCAAGAGTTTGTTGTTAAGTGCCACTCTTGGTTTTCTGGTTCGCCGCCACCTCGGTCACCTCGCCCACAGTTTCGTTTGTTTCAATTCAGACGAAAATTGTGAATTGCGTTTCTGGATACCCTCATTGCAAAGTTTGAACCCTAGATATTCCTCAATAGTCTTCTTCGTC